TGCATTTAACCCAATAAAAAAGCCGTAATTGAACATTAAGAATATCAGGATTAATACTGCTAATTCAAAAGAGCTCAGCTACAAAATTCCAGAACAAAAAGAAAAAAAAGAAATGCAAACCCAATCGACCCCAGCTCCCTCTCCCCATTCGGTAGGCTAGCCCATCCCAGCGCCAACCACAGCCGGTCAGTGGGGCAGGCGGTGGGGGCGGGATGGCACAGTCCCTGCGGGGACGGGTCCCGTGTGCCATTCCCTTGGCGCTGGCAACCCCACCCCTCGACATCTAGCCCGCACACGCCGGCAGAAACCCCAAGCGACAGGTTGTTCATGTGACGTCATCAGCCGAAGCCGGAAGCAGTGCGGGCATCCAGCAGGAGGGGACCTGCCTGGGAAGCCGGGGCTTGGCCGCGGTGCCATCCCCGCACCTGAGCTCCTCACCCAGGGCCACCAAAGCGCCCCTTACTGCAGAGTTCCGACAATAAAGTCACGGAGGAGGTGTCTCATAAGAAAGCCACCTTGGGAACGGTTGATCTGTGGAAATTAAACAAATGAGCTTGTAGGTCGGGTCGCTGAGCTAAGCTTAACCCAGGAAAACCAATTATTCCAATTATACTATATTTTCACTTTATTTCTTTGCTGTGAAAGGTGCAAAAACAAGAGGAACAACTGCAAGCTCTAGGCGTGGTCTTGTTGTTAATAACAGTATTATTATCCTGAAAACATTACAGGTCTCTGTAGCATAAAGCAAGTAACATTGCAAAGAACCAAGATTTTTTTTACCTTAGAAGAGCTCAAAATCCAAGCACGTAAGTAAAACATTCTGTAATCCTAAAACGTGCGTTGGAAATGGTTCGGACGCATACTACTTTGTCTTTAAACGCAGAAGCGTGTGACGCACGCGGGGCGGTGAGAGGGACCCTACCACCATCTCCGCCCACGCAAGGACGGAGAAAATGAAGCATGAGGCTGTTTCCGGGCGGGAGGCAGGGCAGTGCGCCCGGGCCTCGGAGCCCGCCCCACCCGCCGTGGCGCCGGCTGCCCCTGGCCCGCAGTCGCCCACTACAGCTCCGCCACAGCCCCGCGTGGGGCTCCTGGGCTCCCTGACGCCAACAGCCGACAATTAAAGGGAAGAATCCCTCTTTCACGCTGGGTTTCTGGCGGGAAGTTATTTCGGGGCAACCAAGCTGAGGCTGATGCACGTGGAGGGAGGTTCTTCCAGGGCGCTTCATCCCCGAACACAGGGTGACCACAGCGGGAGCGCCTGGCTGGCTCAGCCAGGGGTGCATGTGACTCTCGGTCTCGGGGTCCAGAGTTTGCGCCCCATGCCAGCCAGAGAGATTACTAAAAAACAAGTCGGGGGTGGGAGGCCTGTCCCTTCCCTACTTCAGGTGTCTGTGGCGTCTCCTTCCTTGTTGCCTGTCCCTGAATGTCCCTCTCCATGTCTGACGAGCTCCTTCTGTTCCTCTCTCCACGCTGCCTCTCTCACACCATGGCTACAGGACAAGAACATCGTGAGGCCCATGCAGCTCTTTGACGGGGTCACCCAGCTCCCCAGGAGAGTGGGTCCGTTGTCCTGGTGGAACCCCCCCTTCTCTTCCTGGGTCTGTCCTCGTCCTCGCCCTGCCCTGGGGGCTGTGGGGGCTTCAGTGATCCAGACTGCTGGAGCCAAAGGGGCCGGGGCGTGGGCAGAGTGTGTGTGGGCGGTGTTCCCCACTCCCAGCGGCCCCTGTCCTCTTCCTGCCTGACACTCAGTGCCCAGGGTGCCCCTGCTGGAGGAAATAAGTGGTTCTTCTCTGCTCGTCCCCACTCTAGAAACTACAGCACTAGACGGAATGCCTCCTGCTACGGCGCTCCCCCCATCCCTGATCTCACCCATTTCCGCTAAGATTCCCTTCTTAGGCCTCTCCGTCCGTGGCACTGCCTGGCCCTTCAGACCAGGGCCTTTGGGAGCCTTGCAGGAGGGGGACAAGACTGTGGAGGGAGCCAGTGGCCGGGACAGAGCATAGAGAGGCCTGGAGACTCGGGGACAGTGCACGTGTCCCAGACCACAGCTCCGAGCTGCCACCCCAGCTCCTCAGAAGACGCGGTCTCCTTGGACACCCCAGAGACTTCCATACTCTCCTCAGGATTCCGGGAGGGCCTGACTCATGCCTGGACTTCCTCCCTCTCCTTCCTTCCTGTTTGTAGGGGTGGCGGCAGCAACAGGGGAGTGTAGGTGAGAGAGGTCCCAGCTGGTACCCTCCCTGGTGGCTACAACTTCAGCCTCCATTTGCTGTCCCTTCCAGACCCGGAGGTACAGAGTGAGTCAGGGGCCATCCAGTGGCTGCTGTCAAGAAAGGGGAAGGGGGAGGCAGGCACAGCATCTGCGCCCGGGGCACCCGGCCTCTTGGTTTGCTCAGCGCACCCAGAGATGCCGCTGGGCACACCTAGAACGCAGGGACCACAGGACCCAGTCCCACACACGTCAGCACTCCTGCCGGGCAGCCTCCTGCTCACTCCGTGTAGCCCGCCCCCCCAGTCCGTCAGGACCCGAGGGGAAGGGCCCAGGGGAGCCCCCTTGCCCATCACAACACTGTTGACTGCTCTGCATTTTTGGCTCCTCTGTATATTTT